TTCCAGGGTCAAAAAGTTGTCTTTTACACTGGAAAATATGGTACCTTCTTCTCTTAACCATTTAATTACTATGATTTTATTCTGTTTTAATTGTTAATGGATTTTAATCATGTTATTTGTTTAATAATGTTTTAAGGAGGGGGGGAATTGGGTTTTTTATTGTAATTGTGTTTTATGTTGTAAACCGCCCTGATTGGGCAACCATTGGGTGGTATATAAATAAATTTTATTATTATTATTATTATTATTATTATTATTATTATTAACTTTTCTAGGGTTTTTAATTTAGTTCCATTTTTGATCAATAAATTATCATATGTGGCCCAATTTGATTCTTTAAGAGGCGTCATTCTAAAAAATGCTTCATTTATTGATGCCTATCTTGGTACGCCTGGGCATACTCTTGGTTTTAATTTTGTCCATATTCGTAGCAGGGATCTCCTAATATAATGGTCATTTAAATCCTTATTTGCTTTTATTTTATCATAAAATAGATACCCATGCCAAACAAATCTTAAGTCTGCTCCCTCTAATTTTAACTGTCTTTTATTTTCTAATTTTAACCACTCTATAGTCCAATCAATTATACTAGAATAATAGTAAATTGTTAAGTTTGGTAGTGCTAATCCCCCTCTTTTTATTTCATCTTGTAAAATTTTAAATCTAATTTTTGGGTTTTTTCTGACCATAAAAAATTAGATATGTCTTTATTCCAATTTTGAAAAGGTTTGTCATTCATGATGGTTGGTAAATTTTGAAATAAAAAAAAATCATCTTTGGTAGTAGGTTCATTTTGATTGATGCTATTTTCCCCATCCAAGATAGATCTAGTTTACTCCATCTTTGTAGCTCTTATTTATTTATTTATTTCCATTTTGTTCTGACTGAAAATTCTAAATGCTTTCCATAAACTGCAAATCCCAGGTTCTACAAAAGACAGCTGTAGCCGTAAGAGTGGAACAGTGTATTTCAGTATTGTTGCATGCCTTAAAAACGATAACAGTGTAGTGCAGTATTGTCACATGCCTTAAAAACAGCCTTGGATAAAAACAATATGTCCCTTCAGGGTCCCAGTGATTTTTAAATTCTAATGATGCTTACTCTATGGTTAAACCATATCTGCCCTATAGGGATTTAAGTCTTCATGCCAGAACAAATGATTTGCAAAGTTTTTTCTCCATCAGGTGAAACTGTAGAGACTTTTCCACATTTGCAATGACTTTTTGCTATTTATTTATTTATTGTGTATGTATTGAATTTGTACCCCATCTTTCTCCCAGAATGGGACTTTAGGTCTTCTCTTGTGAAAAATTCATT